ACCTGACGTTACCGGTTCCTCGTTTTATTTTATTTAGCTGGCACAAGAACAATGCACAAACTTATTTTAGCTGCACATGCGCTACGCAATGGTACAACCGTGATGGATGCTGTATATATTGGGGAATGCCAAGATTCAAGTAGCTACGATCAGAAGCTGGTGCAAGGAAAGATCCTTGTCTGTAGTTATACAGTCCGGTTCATTCTCGGTGTCTCAACTATCAAACAAGCCTTGATAACAGCTAAGAACTTAACAGCAGCAGGTCTTGTCTTCTACATGGATCCCTCTGCCACTGGTTTTCAGATGAGTTCAACTCCGATGGATATCCCAGGAATTCTTATCTCCTCTGCACAAGATTCTCAGGTATAATCAGAATCTTGGAATCAAAAGTAAGTTACACTCTGAACAAGAATGTAACTTATAGCTCTTTCTATGTTCTGTCTATGCGCAGGCTTTACTCCGGTACTACAATACTTCTCTATCGAGGGACAATGCTTCAGGCAAAATCGTAGGGTCTGCTTCGGTTGCTAGAATTGTTGGTGGCATGAAGGCTACCTATGGGGTTACATCTCCAAAGGTCATGTTTTTCTCTGCTAGAGGACCGGACCCAGAAGACGATTCTTTCGAAAACGCTGATGTAATGAAACCAAACTTAGTAGCTCCTGGAAACTCGATATGGGGTGCTTGGAGTCCTCTTGGCATCGGTACAACTGATTTTCAAGGTTATAAAACATCATCATTTCTCCTTACAAGATTACTCATCTTGTGTTTCTCTTCTTTAAGCTCTTGAATTTGGCGGTATTCAGGTGAGCGTTTTGCTATGGAATCAGGGACAAGCATGTCTGCTCCTCATGTAACTGGAGTTGCAGCTCTCATCAAGCAGAAGTTCCCTCACTTCACACCTGCAGCCATTGGATCCGCGCTCTCGACAACAGCTTCTTTATCAGACAGAAAAGGTGAGCATATTATGGCACAACACACTGTCTTAAACCCTGACATTAGTCAGTCCCCTGCAACTCCTTTCGATATGGGAAGCGGATTCGTCAATGCAACTGCAGCTCTTGACCCTGGTTTGGTTTTCGACATAGGTAAAAACTCTTTCTTGAACCTCCAAAAGTTCTTCCATCTTTTTAGATCAACGTTTTTCACATGAAGTGTTTCTGCAAATGTAGGTTACAATGAGTACATGAAGTTTCTCTGCCGCATCAACGGATCATCACCGGTCGTTTTCAACTACACCGGTGAAAGCTGCTCAGCGTATAACTCCTCCCTTGCAGCCTCTGACCTGAACCTACCTTCAGTCACAATAGCTAAGCTCGTTGGTACACGAACCGTCCTAAGATGGGTCACGAATATTGCAGCATCGGTTACAAACGAAACATATACAGTGGGGTGGATGGCACCGGACTCGGTCTCTGTTAAGGTCTCACCTGCCAAGTTTACAATCGGAAACGGTCAGACACGGGTCTTGAGTCTTGTCTTTCAAGCGATGAAGAATGTTACGACGGCGAGTTTTGGGAGAATTGGGCTGTTTGGAGACAGAGGTCATGTGGTTAACATTCCGGTGACAGTCATCTACAAGATTGCTGTTTGAGAAATAGGTTGTTCTATGTAGAGTTTTTGTGTGATGAAACAAGCTTGAGGAGGTTGATAAAAGCTTTAGAGACTTGTCTAGTTTGTTTATGTATGTTTTTGTTCATTAATCAAAACGAGAGAATTAGAGAAATGTGTAGTTTGTAAATGTTTTTGGAGTGGGCTTTGTGGTGATTTTGCTGATGAGGTTGATTGAATTAATCTAATCCAATCTTTGATTTTTTCTGTGTGTCTAAATTAAGTAGCCTTCTTCTTGAGCTTTGTTTTCCAATATTGAAGGGTGCTGAGCACAACAAACCATAGTTAAATACTCGTTTGAGAATCAAAATTTTAAATCCCAAATGCAACAAAACTAGAAAATGCAAGTTCCAACTAAAAAAACTAACGAGTAATAAAAGTGAAGGGGTATTTTCGTCAATAAATCTAAAATATAAATATATCATCAAGAAGAGTAAAATCACACAAGCTTAATTACAATAGCATCGTTGTGAGTTTTGGTTTTGGTTACAAATTATATAATCGACTGTTTATTACTATAATTCTTTGGCTTTATGTCTGTTATTTCAATTAAGTGTTTCTTTTGGGTTAGAATCCCTTGTTCTAAATTCGATTTTCAGTTTACTTCTTAAAACCTTCAAACATTTGTGAATATCCATCGCAACTTTTTCATTGCAGTATGGCTCAACACTATAATTATCTCTTTGTGACATCAATTTTGATTTCCCGTGATCAATGCCTGGAAGTAGAAGCAAATAAGTTATTCTCTGATTGATTTGGATTGTTCTTCTGGTTTGGTTAAGAATGTGGTTGTTTTTGCTACACTAGTCTTAGGTAGCATGGTTCTTAGTTTTTGGTTTTTTTTTTTGTTTTTGATTTTTTTTTTTAGTTTCTGGGTTTTCCATCTTTAATTATTTAAAAAAATATATTTTAATGCTTTTGTTTTAGTTTTTATTTTCTGTGTTTGAAATTACTAAAATAAAAAAAATTTCAAAATCATATTTTCAAAAAGTAAAAATAATAAATTAATAACTCACAAAATTTTATAAGTAAGAATATATATTATAGATTTTTACAATAAAAATTTTAGATAAAAATGCACTTAGGTTCATTTCATAAAATTAAAAAAGCAAGTGCATTATTTACATTATTGTAGAATGAGTTGTGTATTTGGTATATAGATTTAGAAGTATGAAGAATTTGCTTTTAGATAAATTAAAAAGTATAACATTTAGTTAATTATTGACTGAGAAAAAAATGCAAAATTTTTAAGTTACTAGCTCTGGCAAACAATGAAGAAGAGTTGCTCTTATCCTTGATCATAGATGGTTTTGATTTCTATGCATCTATACTAGTCATGCTTGATAAAAGATTTCACGTGTTTTTTCAGCTTTTATACTTTTGGTTCCTTGTCGTTTGAGAAAGACTTTCTCCTAACTCCAGAAAATCAAGTTAGTGTATTTATAACAGTAATAGCATGGGGAAGTCATATAATAAAATAAAAAAATATGGACTTGTGATTCTCAGGGAGGGTAAGAAGAACTTTTGAACACTATAACAATAAAGACCTCAAGACTGGTTGGAGACAGCACTGAGTATGAAGCTGCAACAGAATTACTTGTGCTCCAACCTTTTTGTGGTGCATCAGCAAAAAGGAGATAAAAATGGAGGATAAGATATTAATGAATGACAAGCCGACAAGCAGAGATCAATAATGGAATAAATTTAGGAATAATCTTTTGAAAATGAAGGTGTCAATCACACATGTATCAATGGAGGACAACGTGACAACTTCATATTCTTATTAAACTTTTAAATACGAACCAAACCATAATCTTATGTGCAAGTTTTGTACCATAGTCATCGATCTCTACATTTTTCCATTGCTACACAATTGGAAATTTTTGGATAAAGATGGAATAACGTTGTTTTAGGTAACAGAAATTTACAACGGTTTTTTAATATTGTCTAATTAAGCAACCTAACAAAGTATCTAATTTAAATTAGTCAACAAATTTTGTGATTTACATAAAAAAAATCAACATACTTAAATAATTTCAATTGTACACCCCAAAAATTCATACTTTGAAACACTGAAATTTGAAAGTTTTTTTTTTAACATCTATATACATTAATTAGAAACCATATAGTCACAATGTAGCATATTAGATATTACAAATGGAATCAGAGAATGATAAAAATATATGCCATTTCCTGGTATTGATGCTTTGGATAATAGATCTGCTGCTTGATTTCCGTTTCTTGCAATCCAACTAAATTTGACATCTTCAAATTTCTTGCTCCATTCTCTAATTTCTTGAATCCAGTTGTGAACTCTAAAGTTTGAGAGATTCACCAGTGATCAAATTCACTAATGATTTTGAATCTTCTTCAAAAATTACGCAGTAATATCCTCTGGACCAACTTGATTGCATTGCCATTAGCAAAGCTTGACATTCATTTTCCAAAGCATTATTAGCAGATGAATGTTGTGCTTGATCCGCTCCAAGAAATATACCTTTGTTGTCCCTAAATAACCAACCTCTAAAAGAGTTTCTTCTTGATGTGATATAAGATCCATCATAATTACATTTGATCCACCCTTGTTCAGGTCTTTCCCATGTGGTGATTTTCTGTCTTGTTACATCATTGAACCGTTGGTGGAAAGGAGCTTGTTGATTCTTGACATAATCTTGAGTATCCTGCCATTCTTTAACATATTTTTGTGCCCATATCAATGTTTGTCTCCAAGGTATTTCCTTCCTTTTGATGGATCAGAATGTTATGGCTCTTCCAAATACGTCAAAGGATCCACAGCCCCATTTGGTGAACATGGTTAGGAAGTGTTGAAGTTTGAGTGATAAGTATATCAATTTTGGAATCCAAAGGCAAGTTGGGATTCAGAATGTGATGGTTTGGGAATCTTGATCCTCTCCATATCATCTGAGAATATTGGCATTCAAAAAAGAGGTGCTGTATTGACTCCTCTGCAGTCTGGCATCTCGGACATAAAGCATTTCTTGTAATATGTCTCTTTCTTAGATAGTCACCAATTGATAAGGCAGAAAAGGTTACTTTCCATAGGAAATGCTTTAGTTTGGTGCTGACTGTAACTTCCAGATCTTTGTCTTCAGCAAGTTGTTATCTGGTGGAGGAACAGGCAGATTTATGGTACTAATAAGCAGATTTAACTGTATAAAGGCCTGAAGTGTTGTAGTGCCATCCTAAAAAGTATTTTGCACTATGAGGATGAATTCTCATAGATAATATGAAATTTGAAAGTTTATTTTACAATTTTTCCATACAAGAAAATGAAAGTTTAAAGGATAAAAGTGAACGAGTAATAAATTGAAGGGCATTTTCGCCAATATGTTAAAAAAATATATAAAGAAGAATTACAAATTAATTTTGAGGGTTTCGCGGATCATCGATCTTCTCTGTTCTTCTGCCTCCGCCGACACAGAGAGGAAGAAGACGTTGAAGAATCAGACAAGCTTTAGGCCTCTGTCGTTTTCTTCTCCTCTTCGAATTCCAGTAATTAAATTTCTACCATCTAGTGCTTGAGAGCTGTGTCGTAGTGAAGCAGAGCGAGTACAATATATTGTTCTTCGTTGTGAGTTCTCTAACCTTTGTTTATGGCGGGTTCTGGTTTCAATTTCAAATTTTTAGGGTTTCTTAAAGGGGATAATACATAATCTAATTCTTTGGCTTTAAGCCTTTGTTCTTCCAATTTAGTGTTTTTTTTTTGTTTGTTGTTGTTTGGGTTTGGCTATTCTGGCTCGTTAATTATAGGTTAGTGTAAAAATTTGAGGAATTTGCTCGTAGTATTTACTTGTTCCTCACGTCATGATGAATGAATGGAGGAAGTTTAAGCTGACTCTTTATTCTCGTTTGAGAAATATGTTTACTTTCCTGCTCCCTGATTCTTGACCAATGAGATGAATAATTGAATGTATATGTTGCCAATAGTCTTGTTCTTCAGTAGGTAACATTAAGGGGACTCTTGGCCAAATATTTGAAGCAGTACCTGTGTTCATAGAGAATGGGAGCAGAAGAAGTTCTGGGTTCTCCTTTCAGCTCAAATACCGTGGAAAAACCTGAATTAAGCGACAGAGATTCAGTGTATGCTGTTAGAACTGCCCTTGCATTTGTCCAAAATGTGAGTGTTGCTCAAATGTCGCTTCTTCCACAATCCACATGTTCACATATACATTTACGCGCATGTGTGTGTGTGTGTGTGTGTATGTCTGTGCTACTTTTTGTAATGGTCGTGTTCTCTAAAAGAAGCTTTTTATTAAATTCAGGGGGATTCTGATCTTTATGCTGAGCTTATTAAACTCATGTACCTTAAAGAATACTCTGATTCCGATGCAGTGGCACAGCTTGAGGTGTGTCCTTTTCGTCATATGACAAAATCAATTCTTGTTTTTTTTTTTAAATATTTGTTGTTGGTAAGGATTTCTTCATTTTCATATGTTTTTCAGGTACTCTTGAAAGCTCTATCCGGTTCTGTTGCTTGCATAGATGTAGTTCACCATCGAAATCTTCTCGCTTCTGTAAGTTTCATTTGTGTTAACTTACAGTTGAATACCTGTTTTAGACAAGCTCTCCTACCCTTGCTCTAAATTTCATCCCATGTATTGTGATTAGATTTTTAGGATGAGCTTGTGGGATCACAAACCTAGTGTCATGGATGCATTGGTGGACCTAGTCATATCACTGGTACACAGCTCAGCGACTACCTATCATGTCAAAGTGATATATCATCTGGTTAAAGAGCTTAACATTTTGTGCTTTTGTTGTTTCCATCATTAGGCCGCTACTAGTGGAAAGTATCTGGACCATTGTTTGAATTGTCTCATAAGTAATTTCATTCCACCTCCTACTGTTATGCTTAAACTTTCCCAAGGCTCGAAACGCGTAGTCAACAAGAAGGAGGAAGTTCTTTCCCGGGTGCATGCAGCCCTTCACAAGATTTCTTATTTGGTTCCTCTTGCTCCCTCAAAATTAGTGCCCATACGTGCTCAGAGAATGCCTAAACTGCACGCAAAGGACGATGTAAGTTTTTTATTTTGGTTTAAATTTTAGATAATGTAACGGTGAGCTTATAATATTGGCGGTAAAAAAAAAAATGAGAACTATGTGAATGTCTTGCAGTTGATATCAATATATGTGGATAACTTGTTGAAGTTGGAGAATAGCTCAATCGGGAAAGTTGTTGGCAGCGTGATTATTATGGTGGTGATGGAGAGGTTGCGAGATTTGGATGTAAGTAGATACATGCTTCATGAATAATTGTTCATTTTAAGTAAAGTGTGAAGTGAATGACTTGCTGGACCATCTTTTCAGCTTGAGATTGGGTGGGATGATATTCTGCAAGATGACTCTAGAAGAGGAATGTTTGATATGGAACTTGAAGATGCAGTTGAAGGCACTATGGATGAAGGAGACGAGGTAGGGTTTAGAGTATATTTTTTTTTTTGCTGAACTCTGTTAATTAATAACTGAAAGTTGCTAGATTACAAGATGTCGTTTTCTCTTACTGTGAAAATTTGGACTTGACCTCTGGTTTCGTGGAGTCATTAATTTCGTTTTTTTCTCTTTTGCAGTGTCCAGTGGAGTCTCTAAATCAAAATACTTTGTATGGGAATGTAGACTTTGAGGCGTTGGACAATTTGATGGTCCTAACTTTTCACCATCTTGAATCATGTAAAAATTCTGGTCGTTTGGATGAGGTATGGCACCAACTAGTACTTTACATTCTTCCTTTCCACTGTGAGAGATTCGTTAATCTTTTGGTGGTCCTATTTTTTCATGATTTTGGCATAGGTGTTTGAAATCCTCTTCGAGTCGTTTGAGAATTTCATTCTGAACACACACAAATCAAAATTTTCACAGGTAGACATGATCGCTATTACATTACATACTATAGTCTTCTAGCACTTTAGTTCATTGTCAGCAAGAGATGTCTTGGCTTAGAATCACTTTGCTTTTATCTGCAGTTCCTGATGTTCTACGCGTGCTCACTAGATCCTGAAAATTGTGGTGTAAAATTTGCCACTAAGCTGTTAGACATATATCTCTCCGGCAACAAACCTCGACTTACTAGGCGAGTTTCATTTTATCTTTCATGGTAAAAAATATTTCTGCATGATATTAAGCTAATAATGTTCTAATCACCAATTGGATATGGTTTTGTTTTCTCTCCCTTGCTCAACAGGATGAGTGCAGTGGCTTATCTAGGTAGCTACTTGTCTCGTGGACTGTTTTTGCCATCTTCTTTTGTGGCTAGTATGTTGAAAAGGTACAAAGAAATTGCTTAAAAAACGGATAAAGATATTGTTTGATATGATTCACTTAGCTGTAACATTGTTTCTCTTGTCTCTGAAATCCTAGATTGGTGGACGAGTGTGCAGATTATTGCAGAACATGCAATGATGATGTTAGGCCTGAAGCACATCAAGTTTTCTACTCGGGATGTCAGGTATAGTCCAAGTTTAGAACCATCCTATTCCTTTCCATTCCTGAAGAACTTTTCTTTGAAATCAGCGACTTCCCTGATTACCAATCATTGTAATGATCTTACCCTTACTAGTCTTGAATAGTTTTGCCTATTCTGTGATTGTAGGCAATCCTGTACGTGCTATGCTTTCGAATGAGATCCATCCTGGAAGTTTCTCGCTTTCAATCGCAGCTTTTACCCTTGGAGTCAATTTTATCTCACAAACTAAACCCATTGATGGTGAATTACACTATCATTTTTTTTTTTTGTTATTGTTCAACTGTTATTTGAAGTGATCTGATCTCCAAAGAACCAAATGCATTAAGCTTGCAATAATTCGTTTAACAGGTGTGCCTTCCATCAGTAGTTTCTGAGTTCCTAAAACAAGCCAAAGCTGGTGGTCTGTTCATTGTCTCAGAAGCCTTCATTTTCGATGGCCTACTCGAGTCCGAGCTCTCTCGTGCTTTTGGTGGCCATGAAAGGCTTGATACATTCTTCCCGTTCGACCCTTGCTTATTGAAAAACTCTAACAGGTTCACCATCCTATCTCTTGATAGTTTTCTCTTCCAAAGTAAAGCACGAAACCACTGATATCTTGAAATGAGACTCGTAGTAGCTGTTGCCATTTCATAGTTTTTACCCTCTTTCTGACCTGTTTTCTTGTCAAAATATTGAAGTTATATCTCTCGGAACTTCAACTACTGGTCAATGGTGAAACCGACATATGAAGAAGATGATGAGGATGAGCTTTGTGCTGAGGTCATAGTGAATGGAGATGAAGACAGTGAAGATGACTGTGCTGATGACGTGGATGTCGATACCGAGATGATGAACAAGATGTCTATAACTACGAAACATTCCTTCATGCTTGAAACAGAGGAGCTCTTGGAGATGCCTTCTAGAATCAGACCATCCACTAGTCCTCCTGAATCCTTCCGAATCTAATGGAGGGAATGCCAATTTTGCAAATTAAGGCTTTTAATATAATATTTTTGCGAGTTTGTAAAGTCTGAAGAATACTTTTCATGGAAATTTTTGGCATGAATCAAAGTTAGAAAATTAGGCAGAAGTATTAATGTTTCATGTAAGTTTTTTTCTTGGGTCTTTAAAGGTACATTAAAAACTTTGGGATAATTTTGAAACATGAACATTTTAGAGTGCAGTATTAGTCGATCAATTGGTTTCTGGTTTTCTTCGGTTTGAAGATAATGTGAACCAATAGTCACTTGTTTGATTTCTGTAGAAAACTTTTTAAATTACATCTATGATGCAAAATATATGAATTCTATCAGTTTGCTTATTGGCTGCAAGCTTTTTAGTCAAATTAGAATAAACCTTTGATACGGTTATCTGATTTTATGTTTGACTTAATTTGGTTCAACTTCCAAGTATAAGCCTGCTTACCCTTTGATCTCTTGGTTTTGGCTTCATATTTGGTTTACATTTGGTTAATACAGCTCTTAGTTTTGGGAAATGTCACGCAATGGTTCGAGGTAAACCGGGAAATGTCCGCCCGATTTAGACCGGTTCGTGAACCAGCTGAGCAATCTCCTCTTTAACATCAGCGTCGGCGTCTAGCTTCTTCTTCCCTTTTTCGTTAATCAGCAAAAACCCTAGAATCTGTGCTTCGCTTCTCTTTCAAGCTCGACACTGGAGAAAGATGCCACCAAAATCAAAAGCTAAGGATGGAGCTCCCGTAGAGAGGCCTATTCTTGGTCGTTTCTCTTCTCACCTCAAGATCGGAATTGTAAATCATCTCTCTTATCTCGTTTTTTTTTTTGTGATTTTGAAAGAAGAATGAAAACTTAGATTTCATATTTCCATCGATGAAAGCGTCTTTTTTTTTTTCTTCTGAGCTTTTTTATCCGGTGGAGATCCATTAACTCATACTGAGGAAATGAACATTAGTGATTTATGAGTATATGTTTGGTTTCATTGTGTTCGTTACTGTGCTCTTTGAAAAGGTTAATCCACTTTCAGAAGCTGCTTTAATTGTAGAATTCACGAGGGAGACGATGATGCAGAGATTCATGCATGTATCTTACGATGGAATTGTTTGTGGCTTCGCAGGTTGGGTTGCCAAATGTGGGAAAATCGACTCTGTTCAACACTCTTACAAAGCTTTCGATTCCAGCTGAGAATTTCCCGTTTTGTACCATTGAGCCTAATGAGGCTCGTGTGAATATCCCCGATGAGAGGTTCGATTGGCTTTGCCAATTGTACAAGCCAAAGAGTGAGGTAAATTTGTAACTTTAGTCCATGACTTGCTGCTACGGAGTGGTACAGAGACGACAATGCTCAAGCTGACATTTTGGTCTATTGTGATGCCTCAGATTCCAGCTTTCTTGGAAATTCATGATATTGCTGGGCTTGTTAGAGGCGCTCATGAAGGACAGGGACTTGGAAACAACTTCTTGTCCCATATTCGTGCAGTTGATGGAATTTTCCATGTTCTACGTATGTCTTTTCCTTCCTTTTTCTTTTCTCCTAATACCAGCTTAGTGTTAGTGTGATTTGTAGTTGAAATGGTGCTCTGATGCATATATTGGACTGTACATGCTGCTTGTGCTGTATTGAATTCCTAAATGAGGCATAGGATTTTCAACGACAGACTGGTTTCAAACTATAGTATTTTTTTTTTGTGGTTAGTAACTTTTTGACTGAACATGTGCAGGTGCTTTTGAAGATTCTGATATTATCCATGTCGATGACATCGTGGATCCTGTTAGAGATTTGGAAACCATTACTGAAGAATTGCGGCTAAAGGTGAAAACTAACTTATGACAGATATTGAGTGAACTCGTTACTTTCTGTTTACCTTAATGCAGTTGTCTGCTTTATGAATTAATTAGATATTGTTCTTCATGCTAAACTATTTGGTGAAACTTTAGGATATTGAATTCATTAAAAAGAAGGTTGAAGATGTCGAGAAGAGCATGAAGAGGAGCAATGACAAGCAGCTTAAAGTAGAACTTGAGCTCTTGCTAAAGGTATGCTTATGATTTTTTAACCAACCATGCACTTTTTCAGTGAATCTTATTGGTCTTTAGTTATCAACTGGCTGAAAAAATGATTGTACCTCTTGGGAACAGGTAAAAGCTTGGCTGGAAGAAGGAAAGGATGTCCGTTTTGGGGACTGGAAAGCAGCTGATATCGAGATTTTGAACACATTCCAATTGCTTTCCGCGAAGCCCGTTGTTTACTTGGTGAGTAATCATGAATGTGTCTTTTGCTTCTTTGCTTTCTATGGTCGAGAATTTTGTTTCAACAATTTTTCTCGCCTCATCTTATAAATGTAGAGGCATACTGTATATATTCTCTGACACTATTTGCTCGCAAATGTAACATATAATGTATAAAGCATATTGTTTGGACTTTTTGTGATCACTGATTGTTCTCAAATTTAACTTACAGATTAACATGAATGAGAGAGACTACCAGAGGAAGAAAAACAAGTTCTTGCCGAAGATTCATGCTTGGTACTTACGTATATCCCTTCAAAAACTCTGTTAAGTAATAAGTAATCATTTCCATCTCTGTTGCTGCAAAACAGCAAAAGTTTTTTCTACGGCAATGGTCAGCATTTACTCCTGTTATTACTTTTCTAAAACTAAAAGTATTTGTTTCATCGCACTGTAGGGTTCAAGAGCACGGTGGTGATACTATGATTCCTTTCAGTGGTGTTTTTGAAAGGAGTCTCGCTGATATGCCCCCAGATGAAGCAGCAAAGTATTGCGAGGAGAACAAACTGCAAAGGTTAGTAATTAAAAAGAACAGCATAGCCTTCCTTCAAATGAATAGTTGCTCTGTAAGATGATTTTCTTTATGAACCCATTAAAGTGAATCTAATGGCTATTGCTGCGTTGACAGTGCTCTTCCGAGGATCATCAAAACTGGATTTTCAGCCATTAACCTCATATATTTCTTTACAGCAGGGCCTGATGAGGTATTACAATCCCACTTTACTAGTAATTTACCTGTCTTCACAACACGCTTTAGTCTCTATTTCTCTGAGATGCTTTTCTAAGCATTATATCTCTTTAATTAGCTATTTGATAGTGTATGGTCAGTGTATAGTGGCAAGTAGTGCATCTGCTGGAATTTGATGGTTCTGATAACACATTTATCAATGATATTTTGTTTTGCAGGTGAAATGCTGGCAAATACGACGGCTGTCAAAGGCTCCTCAAGCTGCAGGGGCCATTCATACTGATTTTGAAAGAGGATTTATTTGTGCCGAGGTTACCTTCTTCTCATTTCTATTAATTCTTGGTCAATTCACCAGTTTTCTCAAACCCGAAAATATACATGCGCCAAGCCTTTTTCCTCTTTTGATGATTTGTTCTGTTGAAGAGTTTCCATAAACATGATGCTAGCATGTTCTCATTTTTCATTTTGGTTTTGATTTTCTTTTAATGATTTGCATATCAAGCAGAATTCACTTGTCTGCAAGCCTGTATATATCAAAGCAGAATCCTAATGCAAACCATATGTAGACTAAGCAGTTTCACAAACAAATCATTTGCTTACCTAGTAGGTTAAATGCTTTGTCTATTTTGAAATTCGATGTGGTTTATTCCAATGTTGTCATTAATATCACAGGTCATGAAATTTGAGGATCTCAAGGAACTTGGCAATGAAACTGCAGTCAAGGTACTTTTCTCAAACCGCCTTTCCCATCATGCAGTATATTATATTCTCTATAAAGATGATATGGTTACTTTAACCGCATGGTGATGAATATCTCTATGGTTGAAGATGTTAAACAGTATAAAAGTCTAATTTACAATCCTATAAACCAATGCAGGGCGCAGGAAAATACAGACAGGAGGGGAAAACGTATATTGTTCAGGACGGCGATATCATTTTCTTCAAGTTCAATGTTTCCGGTGGTGGGAAGAAATGAGATCCATCCGTCTACCTCCTCTCCGCATCTTGAAGCTTTATACAGTTTCGAGAGAGGAAAACCAAACTGTATTTTCTGTTTTTGAAAGTTGCAGTTTGTTGTTTGGCTTTACAAAACACAAAAGTATCTGTACCTCTTGATCCTTTATTTTGCAGTTAGCTAAAGACATGTCTTTGCCTTGAGACAGAGCATTAAGCCTTCTCTATCTTGTACAACTCCTTTGAATAAGTTTTTCTCCACTGTTTTGAAACCTCAAATGATTTGTGACTTGTGAGTGAGATTTCTTGAACTTGAGAACTAGTGTCTTTTTATGCAAGTGGAACGAGTTGTTGAAGACTCGGAATAACACGGAACCAAATAAGCGAAGAAAACTAAACCTTAAAAAGCAAATTATATTTGCTAGAGTCATGACATTACAATCAATAAAGAAGAAAAGAAATATTTTTGGGGATTGGTGCTTTCCATCACCATATTTTTTTTTTTTTTTTTTTGTCGACTTTTGCATTATAAACCCAAAAGGGCAATTACAAATGGTGGAGTTAAAGCTCAATAGATACAAACTTAAGCCCATAAAGATAACTACGTGTTATAAGCAAGACAATAAAGAGACTCGTGTATAAACACGTGTTTGCAAACAAGTTGGGTTGGAAACACAACCGACTCAAGCACGGCAAGCTTCACCGGAATCTGGGAAATTCATTATCCTCCGGCAACAACATCCAGCAAAGGCAGCCGCTTGATTCACGATCACACCACCTCATCCTTCTGCGTAAATTACCAAGTGTTTAGAACAAAGACTCGCAAGCTATCCGATTTTTGAAGTACGAGAAATCACGGCAAAGCTAGAGATCAGAGCAGTCGCAGAACTTTGCTCTCCTGTTCCGTTCTAAACCCACCAAAGATCTTCATAAACACGATTCTTTTGCATGCGAAGAAACCTTCATCCAAAGCCGATTTTACGGCCCCAATAGGGGGTATGAAGGATTTTACTCTCCTCATACTAGGAATCGAGCAGATCGGCAAAAGCAGAGTCAAACAACACATGGTGTTTATCTCCTCCGATGGAAGAAGATGAAAGAGCTGCAAAAGGATTAATACAAACTAAACTAACTAAAGAAAAACCGAACACAGTCGAATATGAAATCCAAAAGTTAGAATTATTAACTCTGGATTAAACTGGAAAGACATCCGATGTTAATCGGAATTTTTACATCAAAAAAGAAACACTCACTCTCTCTGTGAAAGATTTTTAGAGAGAGAACAGAGAGAGAGTAGTTATTTTTTTCTCTCTTTGTGCTTCCCATCACCATATAAACCACTAGAATCCCTTATTTTCTTCAAAGATTCTGATGAATACCCATCAGCAAAAGAAACAACTTTCTTCAAGTTCAAAGTTTCTGATGAATACCCATCACCAAAAGAAACAAGTCTTCGTGAGAGCGACAAGAGCTCAGGTAAGCTAGATCTGCTCCCTTTCGATATAGAGGTGGAGATACTGACTAGATTGCCGGGAAAGTCTGTTATCAAGTTCCTATGCGTGTCAAAGATATGGTCTTCCATCATCCGAAGCCAAAGATTCGTGGATTCTTACTACGCTCTGTCCTCTGCGACGCGATCTCGGTTTATAATCGCTTTCAGCCACCTTAGCACCGCCGAGGTTAATGACAAGCGTTTGTTCATCTTCTCGTCATCACACGAGGACGAGGTAGAGGAGGAGGAATCTTCTTCTTCTTCTTCTTTGGTTGCCAATCTTGACATGACAATACCTTCAGTGACCTTGGGTTACGGTTCCAAGTGTACTTCCGTACATGGCTTTGTGGGTTGTAGACATGGTGCTTCTCAGTTAACTATATGTAACCCTAGCACGAAGCAAGTCATTACCTTTCCCTGCAATGGATCTCGCATATCTTTGGGATACGATCCTGTTGGTGATCAATTCAAAGCATTGACCTTGGTGTCATCTCCTAACCAGACTCATCAGTTTATAGTGCACCAGGTTATAACAGTTGGAGCAAGAGGAGTAGTAGAATCTCGTAGTGAGATTACCTCCCCGCCTTATTGCTCTTTAACTAGTGGAATTTGCATCAATGGCTTTATATATTATGGTGCTTGCGCCCCAACACTAGGAACGACTCCGGTGATTGTGTCTTTTGATGTTAGACATGAAAGGCTAAGTTTTATCACAGCGCCTGAGGATGTCCTGGTTTGGAAGAGTTGTTCGATATTGATTGAATACAGAGGGAAGCTAGCTTCCATTGTGAGAAACCCTTATGCTTTTTTCGACAGGTTTGATCTGTATATACTAGAGGACGCCAAGAAACCTGATTGGTCCAAGCAAACATTTGAGCTTCCTTTCTCTCTTGGAATGGGTAAGGATGTGACTTCTCAGGGAACCAACAAGGCTGGTGAAATCATTTTTGCACCAACAACTCTGCCATATGATGTCCAGCCCTGCTACATTTTCTACTACAACACAGACACAAAAGACTTGAGAAGAGTCCGAATCCACGGAATTGCAGATACTGAAGAGTTTAGGCACTGTTGTGGACTCGCAGGCCTCTGTTTCGTCTCCATCTCACCCGAACACGTTGAAAGCATTGCGTCTTTGTAATGTGTTTGTTCGAGCTAATAATGTAAGAGCTTGACTACAAACTCTGGGTGTTTCTTAGTTTGTTATCTTAGTGACTGATAATGATCTGTGTGATGCTTTTTTTTTCTTCTTCTTTTCTAGTCTTTTATTGGTGATTATAGTTCAATATTTATCTTGACCACAACTCCTTACTTGCTGTGTACTTGTGTATTCGTATATTTGTAACATCTGCACTAGATTTTCATTTATCTGATACACAATAAATACCTGTGCTGGGACCATGTCCCCGTTGTGACTACTCAGATGGCTCCCTTTGCTCCCATTCCTTTCTCTCTCGTCGATCGTGACATCCAGGTTTGCTATTTCGTTCCAGGTTTGAAAGTTGCAATTTGTTATTTGGCTTACCAAACACAAAAGTATCTCTTGTACCTCTTGATCCTTTTTTGCAGTTAGCTAAGATTTTTCTTTGCCTTCAGACAGAGCATTAAGTCTTCTCTATCTTGTAGAACTCCTTTCAATAAGTTTTTCTCCACTGTTTTGAAACCTCAAGAGATTGTGACTTGTGAGTGAGATTTCTTGAACTAGAGAACTAGTTTTCTTCTTACGCAAGTGGAATGAATTAAGTTGTTGAAGACTCTGAATAACAAAAACCAGATAAGCCAAGTAAACAAAACCTTAAAAAGCAAATTATATTTGCTAGTGTCATGACATTACAAAGCTCAGTTACTAAGAGCTTTTGGATAGATCAATAAAAACAAAAGAACAAAAGAATTATTTTTGGGGGATGGTCAATCCATTGCTGCTTCCTCTACTCCATGTTGTGAAGAGTTGATCCTGTTTGGCTCTTCTCCATTTCTGAGGAATCTTGATTGGAACAAGCTTGGAGAGAAGAGCTCTCCGGTGCTTCTTCTAGTGCTTGGCTGCTTGAAAATGAGTTCTCTCCATTCTGTTTGCGTAGCCAAGCTTCATGAAGCTGCAAAACATACTCCAAGTGCCATAAAACCTCTCCCATCATTGGCCTGTTCTTCCCTTCATCCGCTAAGCACTTCTCAGCTATCTCCCCATACTTCTCCAAAGATTCAGGACTGTAGTTCCCCTTCAGATTCGGGTCGATGATCGACTCGAGAGACCTCTGTTTCTGCCAGCTTAAAGCCCATTCCGCAAGGTTGATCTGGTCTTTGGGCAAAGTCGGGTTTATAACAGCTCGAGCACAAACAGCTTCGAACAACACAACACCGAAAGAGTAAACATCTGACTTCTCTGTTAACTGTTGCCTCCTGAAGTATTCCGGATCAAGATAACCGAAACTCCCTTTCACAGCTGTACTGACATGAGTATGGTCCATGGAAGGTCCAGCTTTAGACAGTCCAAAGTCAGACATCTTCGCCACAAAGTTCTCGTCTAACAATATGTTTGTTGTCTTGACATCTCTGTGAATGATTCCTCTCTCAGAGCCTGTGTGGAGGTAATGCAGTCCCCGGGCAGATCCTATACAAGCTTCAAGCCGTTGTTTCCATGACAACGGAGGAAGGTTGCTTCCAAACAGATGGCTCCTCAGAGTTCCATTTGCCATGTACTCATAAACCAAGATCATCTCATTGTGCTCATCACAGAAACCAATCAAAGACACGAGATGCCTATGCCTAAGCCTCGAGAGCATCACAATCTCGGTCTCGAATTCAGCAAGTCCTTGCTGAGAATGCGGTGTTGCTCGTTTTATAGCTATGAGCGTTCCATCTTCAAGCTCCCCTCTATAGACTTTACCAAACCCTCCAATGCCAATAGCTAAACCGTCATCAAAGTTCTTGGTAGCTGCACGAATCTCGGCTAGTGTAAACTTCCTACCCATTGTAGACGCCGCAAGAGTGTTCAGTCTTAGTGAACCCCCCGTTGCTTTGGCGTTTGCAGTACTGTTATTAACATGCAAGAACAATGGACGCCAGCCTGGAGGATTGCTTTTGGAGTCATCTGATTTGTTTCGCCTTATCTTGCACAAACACACAACCAAAGTCACCAAGAACGTGAAAAGAATGATCGTTGCTATACCAGCACCAACACTGATCCAAATAATCCGCATCTTTGAGTCACTAACCGAGTGACCATTCGGATCAAACTTGATGAAATGAGCAAGATTCCCATCTTTGCTTAGCTTGAAAATCTCGAGACCACTCAGAAGAGCATCTGTTCCAGAAGCACCAGCGGATGTGTCAGGTCCGAGCTGAATCCAAAGAATGTCGTTCTTGGAGGAGACCGGATCGAAGTAATCTTGATATATACCTTTGTTCTTCCCTCCCGCGTGAGCATATATATCGAAATTACCAGCAGCCGTCTGGTTGTTTATGTATATCCTGAATATCCTCTGGTTCTGCTTATCCACAACCAGCTCGCAGAAATGAAGCCTAACCAAGTAATCAAAATTCGGATCCACTTCAAATTTCCAAGAAATGTTGAACCTTTTCTCAAGAACCTCGGTGTTTGACATTGTCCTAGCGGTTTCATACACAAGAAGAGGAGCCACAGGTGAATCATTAGCCGAAGCATACGTGATGTTCGAGCTGTTCTTGACTTCCACACCGGCGTTTTCAATCACCATGTAGCTTGAATCTGTTTCCCATGTCCGATACAGCTTAAGATCTTGGCTTGGACCTAGTTTTGGACCACCAACGTTTAGCCTATACATAGTTTCGATCCCACGTCCCTTCAAACCCAGCTCCACTTCGCTTCCACCCACTTTAGCAACAGATTCCTTGAAAATCTTGTCAAGAACAGGAACAATCTCAATAGCATTGACAAACCCGAATGATCCTTCCTCTGGGATGAAACTCAAAACCAGTTTTTCCAGTCCTGTAGGTAAAAGAAACTCTTTAACCAGAGAAGAGGCGGTGGAATTGTGGCCAGAGCTTTGCAAGATGAGATTTTTATGCGCGATTTCTCCTTGGATGTTGATGTTACGCATCAGTCTCAGACCATTAGCAAACACGCTGAAAGAAGACTCATTCACATTGTGGTTTTCGATGGCGAAAGGGCTGAAATGGAGCCTAACAAAGCAACTTCCTTGAGCTATACCATCGAATGTATAGTTTAACGTGGTCTCGAAAACACGAGCTGACTTATAAATCTCGGAAAGGACAGAACTCTTTATCGATGTCGTCGATGCAATGGCATCAAATCCTACTGAACTAAGGGTTAAACTGTTGTTGGGAGACGAATCTCCAACCCATATTCTTCCATCTGCTTTGGTTGAAGTGTTTGAGCCACAATCCACAAGGAAGCTCTTGGACTGAGCTTCTCCATAGACAACAACACAAGTGAAGATTATCAACACACATAACAGAAGTTCCAGAAACTTTTTCCTCAGCTTCGACATAGCCACTCAAAGAACCCTAGAATCACCCGGTAAATCGATCACAAAGAGACAATGTTCAACTACAGATAAGCTAAAATCCTATCTAAGCTCCTCCAGGAAACAGAAATTTCCCAAATGTGTGTAGTTTGGTTTTTACTCCTCTCTGTTATTAGCTTCCACTAGAAAATTTGCAAGAGAAAAAGGGCTCACAACGACTCTCAAAGAAAGATTTCTATTTTCTCTCTCTCTCAAGCAAAAATCAACAGCCTTTTAGCAAATCAGTCCTAAAATGCTGAAAATTTCTTTTCAATAAAGCAAGGCAGAGTTAACAAAACAAACCAAAGATCCCAACTTCTTTCAGTAAATAATCCAATAAAGCTACAAGATCTGAAATATAACCCAGAATAGTCCACAAGAAGTACAAAGACACAAAGTAGGATTCTTTCAGTGAATAAGAACCAAAATGGGGATGGAATCAAACAGAGGAAATGAAGAAACAAGAAGAACAAAGATCTGGGTTTCCAACAAAAGATGAAAATTTTGAGGGAGGAGAAAGAAACAAAAAAGCTGATAGGGTTATCTGGAGAAGAAAATTATGAACATGGGTTGTTTGTTGGAACAGATTGGAAAAGAGAAAGAAAGAATAATAGACCTTGCCTTGAATATTTGTTTTCTTTGTTCAAATATGTACATTAAAGTAAATTCTTTTTCGTCCTTTAAAAATTAAATCTTTGTTTGCTGCTTGTTTGTTCTCTTTACAAAGAAGCCAAGTACTAAGAATCGCATCACCATCATATCACTTTGAAATTGATAGCACTCATATAATAATTACCAATAATTTATAGGTAAAATCGTATGTTTTGGAGTGTTTTGCAATGTACATACAATAAAGAATGCTTCTTTAGAAGTACTAATAATAAAAATTATCACTCTAGTTGTTGCCAGAAAAATTACAATTTTCTACAATACTTATAGATGTTTTTTATTTTTTGAAGAAGTTGCATTATATACCATAAAATATAGATATCGTTTTTTTATATAGCATAAAGTAATTCTGAAGATGGCAAAAGAAATAAAGAAATTCTTAGATAAATGAAAAATAATTGTCAAACCAAAAAGAAAATATGGAAAAAGAGACAAAAGATAAGAGCGGTGGCAATAATAGGAAAGTGGGTCACATGCACATGTCCGGTCGATCATCAGCATTTCATTAATACCGCCTACTTCAAATTCCATTATTACCCTTTCCTAAATCTACATGCGTCGAGACAATGTAAGGTCTCTTTTGTCTTTTCGATGTTTACTTGGTCCGTACCGTCCCTTGAAGTACTTACTTACTAGGGGAAAAGAAAAACATTTGTTCACATATCATATTCATATACAATCACAGATCTGTTCACCTTTTTTTTTTTATTTGATCATAACTTTATGCTTGTCCCTCTTTTTTTTTTCAACGACAACATTTTTAATGGTTCATATAGTAATGTTAGTATGTTTCGATTATCTTTACTAACGGACGTGTAAGATCAAAATTATAATTAAATCGGTTTGCAAAATTATAATCTCGGATAAATGCATGGAAATTTGGGGTCTTACGTATATTCGAAAAAAGTAAATTTCTGTTCCCAATAGGAAGCAATAGATAACCGTAAATGTTTTGTAAATATATACTTAAAATCTCTATAATAGGGTTGGATTAGAAAAAAAATGACAATCAAATGAACCGAAACCAGAGTTGCAATAGAATCTTTAAGAGTATTGGAATGAAGCCCATTTAAGATTGAAGGCCCACTTATATACGAAAAATTATTTGTGAAGCAACTACATATGTTTGCGCATAACTTCATGTTTTTGTTTTAAAAGCAACTTGTACATTGCGGTTTCCTGAATTTTTTTATTATTTCTTTTTTTTTTACTGACAATTTTTTTTTAATTATTTTATCAGAAGAATTTTAAAAATTCAGTCACTACTCGAAATGGTCTATCCAAGGATTATATGTAATTTAAGTAAGTATTTAACTAGTTAAGAAATTTTGATATTGTAGTACGAGTGTACGACGACTAAAATGACTTTTGAATTATCTCAGAAAAGGAAACTACCAATAATGTGTTTTAAACGAAAGCTACACTAGTATAGTGATGTACAAGTGTACAACCATAGAAAAGAACCATCAAATTTGACACAAGTAAGACCGGTGCCTCTCGTTTTTGACCAATAAATCTTCCAAAAACCTTAGCTTCGATTCGATTATAATATGTTTTATTTTGTCTTTTTCTCTTATTTTGTTAAATTTTATAGGGTTTTTAGAAAATTAGAAACCCCTAAAGTCGAGTCTCCCACGTCTGGTTTCACGTAATAGAATAGGACTTGTGATGAGATAACACAAGCCAAAGAAAGAAGGCCTAAACGTGTGTGTGAAGAAAACCAACTCAAGATGCATTGACTAAGTCAAACGGCTGAGACATTATCATGATTTCCATTTATCTATTTCCATTACTTGCATTATACAGTACTAATAGGAAAGATTCTATTTAAATATTAGTTTTTCCAATCGTCTACAGAAATAATACCGTAAGAAAGATAGCTTGTACAAGAAGTTACCGTCTTTGGGTCACTTGTTTCATTAGTAATAGATTGTTTTCATTCAAACTTTAAACACAAAAACATATACTCCCTCTGTTCAGAATTATTTGATGTTTTAGAAGGTTTTTTTTGTTCAGAATTATTTGATGTTCTCACTTTTCAATGCAAAATTTAATGAATTTTTATAGTTTTTGACCTTTTATATTCTGCAGATTGTTTTCTTATTGGCTGAATGATATTTAAATGAATTATAAATAATATTTTTAGTATAGGAAAAATAAAAATTAAATGAATCCTTAAACTGTGTGCAAAAACTTTAAACATCAAATAATTCTGAACAGAAGGAGTATATCACAAAAAATAACGAAGTCATGAAGACAGAAATCAAGTAAGTTAGGTGGAGCTTTAATTAATAACTTGAAATCTTAATTATTTTAATCTTGATTTTTTATCTATGTATTTGTGCTCAATTTTGGGCCTAAATAGAATTTTGGTTTTCCATTGTAAATACACAATAAACAACAATTTTAAACGTATAAACAAGAGAAGAAAACAAAAGAGTTAGGGAGATAATTTGGGCGACAGCCTAATTCGATAGAGCAGAAAGTGTGAGAGAGATTTTGATAGATTATTTCATCCAAGTTTGCTGCAAATTGGTTTATTTCTTAATTAACAAACTGGCAGATGAATATTTTCACTCTGTATCATATATATTCTCATTACATTTTTTGTCGCTTTTAATAAAATACATGTATAGCAACGAAATTATTTATCATCGCCCGTCTCTATATATTTCCTATCTACTGTAATATCAGAGTCATAGCTACGAAAATATGCGATTAGCTAGGCACTGGTTGTAGGAACGAAGGTATGATTAAATATATATATACTTTTGGTACATTCTACTCCTCATTACGGTTTGGCTGTAAATAGAACCTTTAGTTTCTCATTTTAAAATACACCAAATGCAACAAACTTAATCATAACCAAGAGAAAAAAACAACAGAATTAGGTATAGATAATACAAAGCTTACTTTGACAAAACACTGAATACCAATACTTGCGTAGACAAACTGTATTTTTTTTTTTGTCATAGGCTCTTGAAGAAAGAATATGCTTACATAGAAAATAAAATGGGCAAAAATGAACAATACATAATTATAGATAAATCGTTATTAATTCTCTCAAACGACAGTAAATATTCGTCTCATCTTTATTTTACTGTCATGCTACGTTCGAAAAATCGAAACTGTATATACACCTTTTTTCCCATTCGACTTGCATGTGTAAAAAGCTACCCAACTTGTAAACTACTGCATCTCCTAATCTAATGTTTTTTTTTGTTTTTTTGTTTTATATCAACTCCTAATCTATGTTGTAAGAACTGAACACAATCCAAATGTGTATATATTTTTGTTTTACATTATTGTATATATAAGTCGCGGTTTGCGCAATATTTTTTTCTGTTGGTTGATTGAATAATATAATTTTTTTGTAGGAAGATTTGGAAATTCCACCGCGACTCATTGCAAGGTACCGCTAGGAGAGCGTGCTATGTGTGGTTGAATGCTAACTTGTTATAACATGTTATCTATGTTTTCCACAAATCTATTTTTTATTTTTATTTTTCGATGCAACCTATATGGTTAAATGCTAACTAGCTAGCTACATCTTCTGAGCATGTTATTTTCACCAAATCATGGCTGTTGTTGGTTTCTATCTCATCAATAAGTATACTTTCCTTGGTAGCATTGGAAATAGCATTTAACTTTGTGAATAAATAAGGATATAGCGTGTCCATCATATAATATTAGATTTTGTGAAAAAAAAATACAAGAATAGCATGTTATTTGTGTTTTCCTCTATGTTTGCCTTAACCAAGTAGGGGTAAAACCACCTACAATGAGCTCAATGTACTTTATTTCATTAAGTATGATGTATACGCAAATAACGAAATAAACGAGGGGTAATCTCGTCAATAAATCCCTATATAAACCAATACAGAGATACATTTCCACAGAACTTAACCTACATACATTGGCTAACCAGAAAGAAAAAAAAAAGAGAGCAAAGGAAAGAAGATGATAACAGGAGGCGAATAAGTGATCTCTGCAATGGCACCACTCTACTTCGCCATGTTCCTAGCTGATGTCGTGTCAAACTGCGTGAGGGAACAAGTTTTACCCTTAACAAAACAAATGAAAGCCGCAAGTGCACAGCTAATCAGTTGTAGTATTTAGTGATCGAATCCACAGAGATTTGTGTGCCTGGTATTCTTCTACGGTTTTTAACTTTATGTCTAGACTAGATTGTTTTTTTTTAAAGGTTGTTTGTTTGTCACGAATTAAACTAAAACAAAAGAAAGCAAATAAATTTATCCTAAAAGCAAGTATAGAAATCGAATGAAAGGCTAATAAAGCAAGTAAAATATCGAATGAAAGACTAGTAAAGCAAGTAAAATATCGAACTAAGGGAATTGAAATGCAGGTTTAAGTAAGCAAATGAAAATCGATAGAATTGTAAACTATGGCTAAAAATGCTGAGCTTTTGGGAACTCTAAGGGATCATAATCGGTTTTTGACACTAGGGTAAATGGATTGGGATTGACGGATAACGATATATGGGTTCTAGAGCTAGAGTACGGCGGTATGACTACGTCACTGTCGTGATCATAACCAACTGTTTATCGCAAGCCTGACCAGTAGGTTCCACTCTGGCCCTGGAAGGGAGAGAACGCAAGAGCTGCACAAGACTCGTCAATACTCACGATCTCGCCGCAGGTAGGTTTCCACTCCTACGGAAAAATCGCTTGTTTCATTCTAGGACTGATAGTTAATGAAAACTTCCGCAACACTAACTATCTAGATCAGATACTAGGTGATCAATCAAGCATACATGCAATAAGAACAAGAATAAACAGAGAACAAGTCGAAATCCCAGATCTATAAACCTAGATGTCTTAATCGATTATGAGAGCCCCTTTCGGGAACCCTAAGCCCAACTCGGGATCTACTCAGACATGGCTGAGGTCGACATCATCATCGGTTTTAAT